AACCCAAATCGATTTTAATATTTCTTAATAAGCAAGAATACGCAGAGATTTCTATTTCTTACTAAAAATACGTACGGCTTCTGCGAAGTTAAAAAGGGGAAAGAATAATCAATAACTGACCTATTATGTAAATGTTCAGCATTGACGTGGAGTAGAATTACAATACTTAGAAATCTCTTTTAACAGTCACCAAGGAATTATGAAAAACAAATACCGGACTCATTAAGAAATATCCGAATCGAATTGGAAATATCGAATGTTCACATATAGCTTGATTTTAATTGAATATGTTTTTGGTAGTCACCAGGAGGAAGATCTTTATTGTACTACTCTACTACTACAATTTTTCTACTATTCTACGGGACTTAACTATATCTTCACATACCGAGGAACTACCGGAGACTGATATTAGAAGCTTCATGAAATTTTTACTCAGTCTTGGATTTCTAACTGATCATTTTTGCAATTTCATGATAGAAAAAGAAGATACAATTCTTGGAAACGCCCTTGCATCGGACCTACAAAAACTGATATCGGGAGCTTAACATAAGATATCTCATATTGCCAATAACACATTAATATTTCATAATATATATTGATTACTATCAAAAGATCATACACCAGGAGACAATTTCGTATTTGCAAACTATACAGTAGTGCTTTTCTGTCTCACCACCTATAAAGCATCTTACTCATAAAAAATATTAGCAACATTTATAAGCGATAAAAGTGCTTAGCTATCCTTGGATCATCCTAAGTTGGCTGTCTTCATTGATTACTGGACATGTGAACGTCAAGTATCACCTCAAAAAGATAACTCTTGTTGAGGAACATACTTGCAAGCTCTATCTCGAAGAAAAGGAAACAGTGGTGTATATATTGTGCTAATGTCCAGCACTGGAAAGCAGGAGGCTGACTGTCTTGGGACACCATTGGGTTGATGCTTACTTGGCACCTTAATTCAAACTTAATGAGTTGCTTGCAATAACAAGAATGAGGCCAGTTTGGCTTTAAGTCAATAAGGGCATTCAAGAATCGAAGCACGAAAAGGACCAAAGTCGTTTCATGGTCTACTTCGGCTAATCCTTCGCTTCAGTGGGGCCACTTGTTGAGTAGTACGCTGCCCCAACATCCCACAATATATATATAAGCAAAATAAGAGATTGATATCACACTCAACTATCAGTTTTGATTCCAAAGAAGAATAATGAACATCGACAATAATAATTTGAAAGAATATAAAATAACTTTTTTAATTTCAATTTAAAAAATTATTAATTAATAACACAAATATATGTAAAAGTTCTTTTTCTGGCTTTAAAGGCAATCAGTTTGGCAGTATCTTCAATATGAAGGATAAAATTGAATAGAACAGTGATTTATAGTAAATAGAAAATTTTAGCGCCTTGTAGCTAAAAACTAATTTGTAAAAAAAATATTAAAATAATAATTTAAAAGATAATTAAAAATAAAAAAGAATCGATTCAAATACAGTTTCGATAATAATTTTAAAAATATATATTTTTCATATTCAGCATTTGGCATTTGCACAAAGAATAAAATATATTTTTTTCTCGTATTTATATGAAAGTTACTTTTTACTATATTTAATTTATTAATTGTTATCATCTTATTATAAGAATAATATTAGCAAAATGTTTAGTTATAGAGTTTTATTGCTAAAATAATTTTATTCGTTTTCTTTTTTATTATATTAATAATTATTTATTTTTTTTATGTATTTCACTTTCTTTTCTGATATGTAGCGCAAACATTAACAAACAAATCGTTCAACTTTTAATTATTTCGTTTCAGCTTTTATATTCAGTTTCAAATCTGTGTATATATATATATATATATATATACCATATATAATTATTACACATTCATTTGTATAATTTTTAATTTTTAACCATAAACTACGTGTCCTTAAAACTTAGAGCCAAATTCTTATGCTTGGTCAACAATTTTTTTTGCTTTAATTTTTTTTAATTTTTGTTTTTTTTTTTTTTAAATATACTAAACTACCTTTTTTTTATAATTCAAATTATTCACGTCTCATAGCTTCGTTTTTTTATGAATGCTTTTTTAATTCCATATTATATTTTCACTTTATATTTTCTTACTACAAACCATTAATTTTTTTTTAATAATTAATTTTTTTTAATAATTAATTTTTTAGACTCAATATAATTTAAACTAATTTTTCCGTAACAAAAGTATTACAAATCAAATAACAAAAATTCCGCTTTTAGGATTTATTGTATAATAACTTTTATCAAATTTTATTTATTTATATATTTATATATTTTTTTCTGTTTTACTTAAAATCACAAAACTTTCAAATTGGTTTTCCTTCGCTAATTCACAAAACCTCAACAGTTCCATGCTACTCGTATTTTGCTAAAATATCTTTTTCTGGCCTCTTTCAGCTATTTCACCTACAGTTTCTAGACATATGTATGTAATATGTATGTATATTTGTATATATATATTAATAAATGTTTTTATATTTATATATATATATAGTTAATTGGCTTGTGTATATGTATTCTTCTATATAACTTGTACATAGGCTAAACACATAATTGCGTTAATAAACTACAATTTTCTACTAACAATCTACACATTTTCATATAAATCTACATACTTAGATATACGCCGATTCATATATATAGTCACATACGTGTGTACTCGTATATAAACATTTCATTATCATTTTGTGTTCAATATCAAATTTTTTTGTTTTTGTTTTTTGTTTAACTTAAATTACATTTAAATAATTTTTATATTCATATTCATATTTATATATATATAACTATTTTATTAATTTTTTTATGTATTTTCATAATAATAAACATTTATATGTTTATTCATATTTATAAATATTTATTTTCATATTTTTTTTTTGCTATTTATATATTTATACTTACACATACAAATACACATGTAAGGACATAACACAAACAATTATAATTATAATTATGTTTATAATATAATATTGCTGTATATCAATTATACGAATATTTTTATATAATATATTTACTTTGCTCTATATATTTAAATGATTATATTTAGGTTTAATGCATAACTGCTTATGTATATACTAGTTAATATACATACTATATATATGTATATATATATTAATGTGACTGTCAATAATCAAATAATAGATAAAATATTATAATGTTAAGGGATATAGATAACGTAGGTTCAGATAAATTATTGTTTATTAGTATTAATACATAATCAAAAGAACAATTTAAACTAACTTTAATAAGCAAAGAAGTTAATAAGTTTCTTCGAAAATAAGTCACTCTGTAGTCCTTATAAGAAAACAAATCAGGATAAATGGCTTCAGAGTTACAACGTAGTGTGTTAGGTGTAAATCAAAATACTTCCTCGTCAATAAAATAGTATTATGTTTAAGCATTTAACATAATACCTAAGGAGTTACCAGATAGGACAACTAAATTTTTTTTCATAGTTAAAGCAATTCAATAAATGAGAACCAAAAAGGAGTTACCAGACATGATAACTAAATTCTTTTTACTGCTAAAGCAATTCAATAAATGGAAACCAAAAAGGAGTTACGAACTAAATTTCTTTTTATAGTTAAAGCAGGTCAATAAGTCCGAACCGAAGAGTTACCAGATAGGAAAACTTGATTTTTTTCATAGTTAAAGCAGATTAATAAATCCGAACCAAGGAGTTACCAGATAGGATAAATAATTTTTTTGTAAGGAGTCACCAGACAGGACAACTAAATTTTTTTTATAGTTGTGGGAACTATGCGTTGCAGAAATTAATGTTATTCGTAAGGAATTACCAGACAGGATAACTAAATTCTTTTCATTGCTAAAGCAATTCAACAAATGGAAACCAAAAAAAAGTTATCAGACAGGAAAACTAAATTTTTTTTCATAGTTAAAGCAGTACAATAAGTGGGAACTATGCGTTGCAGAAATTAATGTTATTCGTAAGGAATTACCAGATAGGATAACTAAATTTTTTTTCATAGTTAAGACAGTCCAATAAATGAGAACCAAGGAGTTACGAGTTAGGACAACTAAGATTTTTATAATATATAAATAATTTCAGTTATTGGGAACCATGCATAGCAGGAAGCACAGTGTGAAGAGATTTATATTTCATCATAAACGGAAGTTCAACAGTAGAAAACTTAGTATCCCTGCAAATTCTAACAAAAGCAGAAAAGCTGCATTTGCAATCATTAATCGATACATAAGCAAATGAAAAGAAAATGATGCCATCTCATCTAAACATAGTTTGAAAGTAATAAGCATCTTTCTTCAGTTTATGACAATGCAACAGATACAAATCAATGTACCTGCATTTATGAAGAAAATAGCTCATATTTTTTGAATTTTTGCCTTTATTTGAACTTTTGCTTTGTATCTGCTAAGTTCGTTTGCTATTTATGCTTAAATCTTAAGATATATATATATATATTCATACATATATTTTATTTAAAATAATTTAGTTTTATTATATGATATATATTGTGATACTTGTCTTTACTTAATAAACATAAGATACATAAATGAATGCTGAAAAATATCGTCTCATATGCTTAATTTGCTTAGTGTTAATATCTTTTAATTAATATCATTCGATGGAATATTGATTGTTTCAAAATACTTTTATTTAAAGTTCTTAACATAATTGAAGTTTTACTCACTATTGTTTGTGTGTGTATCTGTACTGTGGTAACTGTTTTTGAGTATCTCTGCATACACCTGCTGCTCATATACTTCTTTAGATACTTTCATGCATTTACATATGTGTGTATATAGACAGACAGATAGATATCTGTCTATATAGCAAATTTCCCGTGTATTCGTTACAAATTCTAAACATTTGTATATTTATACTTTGTGTTGATGCTGAGAAAGCAATTTAATAAAATTCATTTAATTCTGGTTTTGTTTAAAATTTCTCCTAATGCGTTTGAAATATTTTATTTTAATTTAATTGCATTTTAGCTTTAAATATATTTACTTTCGTCTATAGTAACTAACATAATAAATTTGCTGCTAACCATTCATCTTCTGGCAACTGAAATAATAAAAGAAATAAAAATATATTTTATATATAATTTTTTGTTCTTTATTTATTTGTTTTATTGTTTTTTATTGTTTTTCATTTAATAATATTTAAGATTTTTAGTTAATTTTTTGTTATTAAAATAGTAAAGCCTCTTTTGGGTGTGAAAGTAGCAAGTTAATAAAATAAGTAGACAGTACATATTTGTACTTGACGTGTGAATTGGCATTTAAAGCAAAAAGTGATTTTACAAACCAAAAAAAAATAAATAAAATTTTTATTTTGACTAAATTAGAACTAATATTGTGAGACATAGTTTACATAGTGTACATGGAGACATGTAAAATTTTTGATAGTAATACTTCTTTTCCATTCCATTGAAAGAGACTTATAACCTCTTGATCGTCGCTAAAGACTTAAAGAGCCATGAACAGAATTTGGTGTGAAACAGTTGGAACGCCACTCACATCGTAATAGACTAGATAAGCTTCTGAGCAGAAAAAATTTGTGAATAATTTTGGCTTAGGGCTAATTGTGTTAAGTACACTAAGCATCAACAAACGAAATATACTGTTGTTCATTCATTCTAATAATAACCCAAGCGGGTATTGAAGAAGAACTAACTACTATCTAAACTGCTTAAGTATCAGATGTAGTAATTAATACAATTAATGTCTTATTAGTTATTTAATCAGCTCTTTTATAAAACTCTAGGAGCAAGCTTGCGCAGTCATAAAATAAGTAAATAAGATTAATGCACTTTATGATCATGATCGAGAAGATGTGTTATACAAACAGTCAAATCCCAACTACCACATTGATACTTTTACTACTATTTTGATACTTTTATGGTCTGCCTTAACTAAAAGCGTAATATTTTTTGTGTCGATATATAAGCAAAATATACATATTTACTCACAAAAGGCCCAAATTTTGCTATGCGAAAAATTAATTATATTATGTTGATGAATAGAAAAAAAGGCCATCAGATTTCTTTATTCCTGCTTAATTCGAAACTTGGTTTTCATCAGCTTAAGGACAACGTTTTATATGTTGATAGCATTATTTTGCCAAAACTGTAGCGAACACTGCATATGAACACTTATCAATTTATATAAATAACTTCTTCACACAATATACTTCAGACTTTATACACACAAAACAATCTTAAAAACAATGCATTTAGGACTCTTAAGATGGACAGACCAAGATGTGGAAACCATCAAACAAAAAATAGAGAACGTGCAGTTATAGAGTTCTTAAATTTTGCTATAAGAAAAAGAGCTAGATATACTATGAACTACGTGTTAATTCTAGCTGAGCAAACTGGACTAAGTTAGGCCGATAATGCCATCTGATATACCAAATGAAATAATGGGAGAAATTAAAAATTTGTAAAAATGTTGATTATTACATACTTAATCCTTTCAATCAAAACAAAGTAATTATTATTAGACACTTATTAATAGACAGCAGGCGTCTGAAATACAACAGTAAGCTGGAATTACGTTTGGAGTGGAGTATTGTCACCCACAAGGCTCCTGTTCGTAATTAAAGAAAGGTAAACAGCCATATTGTATGTGACGTGTTCCTATTACCATCACGAATTACATATATAGCTACAGAATGCTTTTATTGGTACAGAGAACTTTTGTTCTCTGAAGTTTAACTATAGATTTTCTTTAATCTGTAAAACTCATAATGTTTTGAACTTATTATGTATCATATAAATCGAGAGATAGCGACTACTAATCGAACAGTAAGTTTACCGACACTTATGTGGCATTTCTCTATAAATAATTTTCTCAGTAACTCAACCACAAATATTTCATATCATGTCTTAAGAGTAAAATATTCCTATATGTCACAAGCTCTTCTGAAATTCTGGACAAGCTTTTAAACGCATTGCTATACTAACTGAACTATAAAAATTGTAGGAATTTGTGCAAAGGTAATTTAAACTTTATTATCATAGGAACTCTATTATTAATTAGTAATCACAAGTAATGTATATTTAAAACCTTTGTTTAGAGTTTTATGACTTCATGGACTTTTCTTAGGATTTTTGAACAGTTAACTGCTACAAGGATAACTAAGCTACTGTGTACTTTAATAAGTTTTGTGTACTAAATGTGTAATTATTAAATAGTTCAAAATAATAAGCTATGCAAATTAGAAATTATGCTAAAAATACATATTACAAAAAAAAAAAATTACAAAACAAATATGCAAAAAATAAAGGGTTAATAAATCAATAGAAAGTTTTTAAAAAAATTTAAAAAAAAATGTTAAAAAATATTATAAAATTATTACAAAATTACTAAAAACTATAAAACAATATTAAAAAATCATTAAAAAAAATATTGGAAAATCAACAAAAAATTATTAAGAAATTATTAAATTAAATTATTAAGAAATATTAATAAATCATTAAAGATTATTAATATATTATCAAAAAATTAGTAAAAAATTATTACAAAATTATTAAAAACTTATTAAAATATTATACAAAAAATATTAAAAAATTATTACAAAATAATTGCAAAATTATTAAAAAGTTTTTAAAATATTATTAAAGAATTATAAAAAAAAATATTAAAATATCATTTAAAAATCATTAAAAAATTATTGAAAAGTAAATAAAAAATTAAATTATAAATTATCTCAAAATTATTAAAGGAATGATTAACAAAATAATGAAAAAAATAAAAAATTTTAGTAAAAAAAAAAAATTAGTAAAAAATTATTAGAAAATTACTAAAAACTTATTATTCAAAAATTATTACAAAATAATTACAAATTAAAAACTTAAGATATTATTAATAAATATATAAAAATAATGATAAAAAAAATATTAAAATATCATTTCAAAATCATTAAAAAATTATTAAAAAGTCAATAAAAAATTATATTATAAATTATTACAAAATTATTAAAAGAATATGATTAAAAAATGATAAAAAGAATTTTAAAATATCAATTAATAATAATTAAAAAATTATTAAAAATATATTATAAAAATGTTTTTGTGATCTTAAATTTAAGCTAAAATTTTATATATATTTTTTTTAAGTTTTCATACAAAAGTTTTAGTTTTCTAAGTGTAAGAAATTGTGTCAATTGATAAATTTTAATATTTTCCTCATTTTTCGATAAATATTAATAGGCACTAGTACTATGTTCGTTAGTTTACAAGTTGTATGAAATGTTGAGAAATGAAATGAAAGTAAATAAACTCAATTAATTATATGAAAGGCATTAAAAACTAAATATTTTGAAAAGAAATTTTAATTGAAGCAAAACTCTGCAACAAAAATATTTTTACATGAACTTTTTAAGTGAATTATCTTAAATTTAATTTTCGAAGACTGGAAGCCTCGAAGCCTCCAAGCTTTCCTAGATACGCAAAGTAGGTGCAATGTTTTTCTTGAATGAATCTTCTTCTTCAAAATTGTATTTTTCTTTAGTTTCGTTACGTGAGCTTGTAATTTTTGTTACTAGTTTCTTTTAAATGTGTACTTAAGATACAATTTACATAAATATATATTGATATTTCATATATTCTATTATTATTTTAATTATTTTTTGTGTTTTTTTAACTTCTTGCTAAATTATAAAAAATTTTTTTCTATGTGATTTTGTGCAATTTTTGTGTTTAGTGTTTCCTTAAGTTTGTCTATATCTTTTCTTGAGAATATGTATATACGAGTATGTGTCAATGAGTCATTTATGCTTTTTTTTTTGTTAAGATACAATTTCAATATAATATTCTTTTTCAATATTTCAATATTTTAGTCACTTATTGCAATTAAAATATATTTATATTTATTTGAAATTGATAATATATGAATGTTCTAGTGTAACTGCATGTTTAGTTGTGTATCTGAAATTTATTCTATTAAAGTTGTTATGTTTCATTTAACAATTTCGTTATGATGCTTTACCAACTTGAACTCTTCTCCGTGTGAACGCCACTTTAATGCTCGTGCTAATTTGCATGTTAATGCCAGTAAATTTACATAAATGCGAGTGTATTTTTATGTATTGGTGTAGTTGTGAGTGTGTGCTTACATGTAATAATTTCATACGCATATGTATGTATTTATATATATATATAATATTATTTTCCTCTGATTTTCTATAACATACAAATATATATTTATATATATTTATATTTATATATATGTGGAGATATATATTTATTAGTAAGTAAATTGCGTTTACATTAAGCTTTCATATATGCAGCTCAATTATATTTCAATGGATTTTTTTTATTCTGCGTGTATATAATATATACGTATATATTTTACTATATTTACAGTTCTAAATTGTTTATATTAAATTAGTTTTGGTTTTTTTTTAATTTATGCAATTTCATTGTATAATTTCTGTTTGTGGTTTTACTGTGCCTGCAAAAGTAAAGGATAAACCTTAAAAAATAATACGGGTGTTAGTAAAAATTGGAAAAAAGTAGTAAAAAATTTAGATAATAAATTAATGTTAAGTTAATTAAGCTTAAATATTTAATTAATTCGAAATGTATATAAATTTATGCTTAAAACTATGCATTCAAAAATTCTTTTAAAAAGTGAAAGAGTAAAAAGGAAGCACATGAATTACTGTTAAAATTTGTAGGTAAAAGTTATTAGTAAAAAAGTTTATAAAAGTTGGTAAAAATATTTTTAAAAGTTGCAAAATGTTATAATAATGTATCAACATATTTTAATGCATCAAAAAATTTTAAAATAAAATAATAATAATACTTAAATATCAAGACTTTACATTAATATTTTATAAAAATATAAAATACAAGTTAATTTTAACTTCAAACTAAATTTATTTCAAAATCTCTTCTACAATTTCGTTAGTACATAAAAATCCATTTAGTATCTAGTGAGTGTTTACTGATTTAGTGGGAAGATCTGCCTCCTCACAGAAATCTAGAGTGATTTAATATGGTGACCTGCCATAAAAGCTTAACACCTTTTTGTTTTTAACACACATAACAAGATAAAGTCTGTTCTACAATTTCGTTACTATATGTTGTAAATATCAATAAAATATCGTGGAAAAGCATAGTGATTTAGTGGTAAGATCTCCCTCTTCATATAAATCCAGAGTGATTTAATATGGTAACCTGGCATAATCGCTCAACACCTCTATGTGTTTAACACACGTAACAAGATAAAGTCTGTTCTACAATTTCGTTACTATATAAAAATCGAAAGAGTATCTAGTAAGGGCTTAGTGGTAAGATCTGCCTCTTCATAGAAATCCAGAGTGATTTAACATTGTTACTTGCTATAAAAAGTTGACAACTTTATGTGTTTAACACATGTAACAAAATGTGGTAATGAAAGGTCCATTAAAAATTCAAAGAATTTTGCGGATATAATTTTCTTTACAGTAGGAGTTAAATTGAATGTAACTGCACCTCCGATTAAAGTAAATTAATACAATCATAAATCAAAAAAAATACAATCATACTATCCGTATATTTTGAATTTCAACCATACCAGCACCACGACACACTTATTAAGGAATAATCCTCTATTGATATGGTCTACAACTGAAGTTGTAAACCATGATCGCCGTGTTACCATATCACCATATTTCTGTTAATGGCGACGCAAGTAAAACTAACTCACTACCATTTATGCTCCAAACAGTTTCCTGTTTTTGACAATAAATCTATAGAAAAAACTCTACATAAACTGTAGAGTTTATGTAGAGTTTTTAAAAGTGTAACCGAGTGAAGTTTTTTATTGCTAAGTTTATTGCTTGAACCAAATATTAAAGAAACACTCATACGCAGTGTGAGCCGATATTTTCTCATTTAGGAAAAATGCAAGTAAATTGTTGTAAAATTGAAATATTTTATATAACTGTTATATATAGCATTATGTTACTTTTGCTGTAAAAAAATTAAGTCAGAAATACAATATAATTATATTTATATATATATCATATTCAGTAGCAACATAAAGCTGAATAGTATCTTTCTTGCAGCATAAAATGTGTTGGCTTTTGAAACGTTGTCTCCAAGAACTCCGAAAAATCTGATTTTTTGATTAAAAATGTTTGCTCTGCTAACTTGATCTAGAAAATTCTTGATCTACGTCAGCAGTCAGCAAGTTGTGATTAGAAACACCATAACTTATTTCCTATTAGTTACTACCTCATTGAATAATTTTGGTACTATTAATTCATGTGAACCTTCACTCTTTGTTGTTATTTATTTAAATTCGACGATGTACTTCGGACTGATTCTCATATATTATATAGAAGTTGTAAGCTATCGTTCATATAACAATAATTTTTTGTTTTAAAGAGAAAAGTATGTTCTGTAAAAAAATTGAATTTTTTTGGAATAACCTAGTTTAATATCAATAAATATAGAAGATTATTCATATGGACTTTAATTAATTTCACATTTCAATATTCTCTAAATATTATTGTAATTATTTACTAGCACTTATAACTTTGTTCTGGAAAAAAAACAGACAGAAGCAATATACAAAAACCTATTGCCACATACTGCTACGGAACAATGTTGCTCAACAACCCCTTCTGATCAATCAAAGGGATTAGACTTTAGGACTAAGTTAATATCACCGAAAACTAACAAAATTAAAAAAGTACAAAGCGTCACAGGAGATGATATTGGAACTTGAAATGCTGGTCACTGGGTATTTGACAAATATAGTCTTTAGATATTCTTTTAATCTTCTTCGAAGTACCCAAAAAACTTCGAGTGCGAGAAAGAGGAAAAAATTGTTAGCTTTTCCGGTTATTGATTTAATAACAAATTAAACAATATGATATTATATTATTGTTATTTTGTTTATCACCCGATTTGTTAAATTTAAGAGTCCATTTATGATATATTCACATATGAGTCATGTGAAATATATGTAAAAATTTAATACACGACACATATTAAGTGTACCCAAGAGCTATATACCGATAGATATTGATATTATCCAATATCAGAGAGCGAGAAACTCTGAAATCCTGTGCATTCACTGTATTAATTCTAATAAAAAGCATCAATAATATTAAATAAAAATATCTGCAATGAAATCATAAAACCAAAACAATATTTTTATGTATTTTATTTAACATTTTTAAAACTTTTAACAAAGTAACACAACTCAATAAAAAGAATTCTGAATATAATAAGATATATGTGTAACTCAACAAGAACCAAATAAAATAAAAAGTAGCAATGGCATGCAACATTAGTAAAAAATAATTCTAGAGATAAAGTATAACAGGCTTTGTTAAATTGAAAGTGCGATAAACAATTTGAACACTAATAACTCCAGAAATATTGCTCACATACCTGTGGGCTTACTTGGAATTGCTGTATCGGATAAGCAACAACACCGGCGGCTTGCGGTATAGCAGCTCCTGCCACACCCGTCGCCAGCTGTTGTGCAGGAGAGATTTGAGCTTGAGTAGCAACACCTTGCCAAGTAGCGGGAATCTGAACGCCCATGCTGAAGAAGAAAACAAAACACATAAAAATGAAATAGAGCTTTGAATATACATATAAAAGCAAATATCTTTTTAGCAAGAAATATCTTTTATCACTGATATGGTATTAATGAACTGATATAAAAGTAAAAGTGTAACAAAATATTTATAGTGAATAGGTAAAAATTACTTACCCCATATAACCTTGTTGATATCCACCATATTGGCCAAAATGATAGCCTTGTATACCTTGTAGAAACTGATTTTGAACTGCTGCGGATGCTGCCGGAGTAACAGAAGCTGTAGCCGATGAAGCAGGGTATGTGGGTGTAGGTGAATACCAACAGCCGGCAGCTAATTGTTGTCCATAAGCGGCCGCAGCGGCGGCGGCAGCACCAACACCATACGGAAAACTGGCTGCAGCTGGATTAAGAGCCTGACTAGCGATTGTCTGGGCATTATTGGGATCTCCACTCTCCTTACCCCAAGAGCATTTTACTGGTTGTGCATTGATTTCAGTATTGTGCACACCAACGATAGCATGAGTAGCGGCCTCCTTAGTTGAGAAACTGTAAATATAGTTGAAGGGGTTGGATTACATATAAAAACAAAATTGATATTAACTGCTAATACAATATTGAAATTAAAATTTGAACAATATTATTTAATAAAATTAAGGCTGAAATTTTGAATAAGTTCTGTACTCACCGTACAAATGCATAACCTTTGTCTTTGAAGACACGTATCTCCTGTATTGACCCATAGGGTGCAAAAGTTTTTTGCAATATTTCCTCACTAAGGGATGTCAATGCACTATTGACGCCACCAACATACACGGTGCAGTTCGAGGGGCTGCTTTGGTTATAGACTTCGTCAAATGTCAAGGGTTTCACGTTTTCTGAAAACGAAAAAATTTAAATGTGTAAAGATTTGCTTTAAAAGTAAATACAATAAATTTTATGAATTGCAGATTACGTTTGTTCTTTCTAACAACAAAATGATTAGCTATGCATTTTATATAGCATTTTATATCTTATAAGTATATGATTTTTTTTCACAGACATTATAGAGCATTTAAAGCAATGCATATAATATTCTCTTTTTTATATAAAACAAGAAAAAAGTGGTTATGCGACCGCTATTTGAAAATTGTTGTATTGTCCGATATAAATTACTGATAACAGTTATAATTCCAGGTAGAAACATTCACAATCCCGTAAAAAAGCAGAGTTGCTAGTCAATCACTGATAATCATCTAACTTTCAAATAACTTTAGAAAGTCCTGACGAATTCGAGATAACAGAGATTTCCATATCACTCAGTGATAAGTTCAGTATCATCTTTTCAATTGGATCTTTTGCATTGTTGCCAAATCAAGTGGTTATATATAAATTTCTACAAATACTACTGCAATTTTAGATATTTTGATATACTTAGTGTGGACAATGAACAGACCCATCCTTTTAAACATCATAATGACTAAGTAACTATTCATTTAAATTATGGGTCCTCAAAAAGTTGTTTTAACTTGAGCCCATACATCTTAACGTCCCAAAATACTTAGTTAATGCTTCTCTTTAATTGGCCATTTTGAGTAAAATGTGTAATATTTAAAAACGATATCAAAGTACTAAGCGTAATTATATCAAAACTCTTCACGTAATAATTGGAATAAAGTTTACCACTCCGCCCTCCGGGTCATTGACAGAAATCTTCTCTCTTTGTTCCTAAGAGGTGGTTTTAGTGGGTTCAAGTCATACACTGTGGCTGTCGAATAATTAAAAATTTTGTCTTTTCTCAAATTTTAAAATTTTAATGTCCCGAAATTTCTAAAATTTTTTTATATCGAGATTTTCGAGAATGTGATCTATATCTGTAAACCATACTTAATTGTTCATTTTCAATTTTTTTTAAATTTTTTGTTTTACATAGTTATATTCGCACATAAGGGATAGGACCTGAAGCTATATGCGAAAACCGACAGGCTGCCCTACTTAGCACTAACTAATCTCAGAGTAATCACTAACCGCATGGGACGATACACAGTTCTCAGATCAGTCATTGAATAATCACGAAGCTTATGAGGAATACACAAATTAGTCAATAAGATAGGTAGGACTCTGCAGAAACCTTCCAGCTATCAAAGAGTAAAAGTGTCCATATGCACTAACTGGGAAAAAGACTCAACATTAGACTTTGCAGATTTTGCTTATGTCGGGGTTTCCGAGATTGAAATCTATTGCGGTGTTCCCAAATACTGAGTCATTGGTTCTTATTAGTTAAACATATCAATCGCAATAAATAATACTGAAATGCAGTCCATTTCCATTTATTACAATATGTGTTCTGTTCAGTGGTAAAACGTTAATCGAAGAACCATATATATTATGTATACGGACATAGTTAACTCTAAACGTTCAACCTGTTTATTTCAGTTTTGATACGTATATTAATAAGGTCCTCGTGTGTGTTACTCATACCGCATTCATATGTTTTATCTATAAAAATGCATTTAATTTGGCTCACTGTCTATTAAAAACTGTTGTTTCTAAAATGGTGTAAAGTTTTTTGTTTTTATTTTTTGAAAACGGCGGAATAATTAACGTTTTTTTGTCCTTGTAATTTTTAACAACTCGAAACTAGTGTAGCGTTACATATTACAATATCGGCTCAATAGCACGGCACATTATACACCTTCGGGTGGATGTAAGGAAAAATGAGCTCACGACATGCAACAGGAATTTTCATGTGGAAAACAAAACCGACTTCCAAGCCCGCAGCCACCAACAAAAACGGTAAAATTATAACAAGGTAAAAATTTATTCTCCGCTATTGCCGCCGTATTACACCAATTGGCGCGCACACACCCTACACACACACACACCCATATGCTCACATGCTTTGCCGAACAACAATTGCATGTAGACAAACGTTTAAATCAACACAAACATATAAATTTATAAATTTGCATTGCGCACACTTATGCGCTAATTTCCTCAACTCGAATTAACAACGTTGCCCGCCGCGCACGTCTCAGCCCTCGTTTCTATTCTACTGTACTCAGCCAACTGCTACGAAATGCTAGTGTTCATACATCCGAAGTGGATTTGAACTGTGAATTGTGTCTGAAGCTGGGGCAATAGCATTGCCTCTGCCTCTGCTTCTGCTTCTGCTGCCTCCCATGACTTCGTTTGGCCTATGGAGTATTGTGCTGCTCTGTGCTCCACTGTGCTTGGTTTTTTTTTTAAATACGTGTAATTAAATTAAAATGAAAAAATAAAAAAAGAAAATAACAGAAAAAAAAAATGCAAAAATTGTAAAAATGGAAATAATCACAGTAATGACTAGCAATGTAGTTTGTTGTTGTTGTTGCTAGTTCATTGTTGCTGTTGTTGTTGTTGGTAGCAAGCGAGTGTTTAACTTGGTTAACGGTTTAATGTTGTAATGGTATTGACTGTATTCTGTGGTGAACGAACATACATACCAACTTAGTGGTGTTGGTGAAAGTGTCGGTGTGTTCGTTTTTGTAGCTTGCACACAGCACTTGTCTCGCCTCAGGATATTATAGTGTTGCGATAGCTCAGCCTGAGGTGAACAAGTGGGATGGACGCCTTACGCTTAAAGTCTGATTTCCTTTATTGCACATACATACATATGTACGTAAGTGTGTGTAAGTGTAGCGGATGTGGTGAAATGACATAGCATTGCAGATATGTAAATTTTTTTCTTAACTTAAATGCATGCATAAATATGACAAGCAAAATACGTGTACTTATGTGCGTATATAAATTGCTTTGAACATTTTGTGGCAATCGTGACATATCTGCGAGGGGAAAGGTGTGCATTTGTGTACTTGGAAAACAATAAAAGTGGATATTATCAATGTGAATGTCTCAACTTGTATTTAAAAATATATTAAACTTATATATTGTATTTTGTTAATCTGAAAATAACAACCACTTGAAGTAATAGACGATTATTCAGTTATTATAAAAATTTCTAAATAAAGAAAGAAAATTAAATCAATGTGAAAGTATAACTTCTTTGATTGTATGACAGAAAATGTTACGGTAAATTAGAAAATTAGTCCAAAGACATATGAATTGGTACTGCATTATCAAATGGCCGTCGTTTTGACTGGTGACTAAGATCAATAAAACACATCTCAAAATTTCAAATAAATCAAAAGTCATTGTCAGATATCGACGACGTCAAATTTTTCTTCCGTGCCTCTCCCTCTCTCTTCTCTTCCTCACGACGCAACTCCTTTAACCCATTCCTTTTATATCTTATTCTTTGCTATCCAATTTTTCTGTTCCTTACATGCATTTACTCTTTCTACATTTTTAAGAAATAAATATTTAAAATTAAGATTCTGTTGATTTCACAGGATAGTACACATTATAAGATTTATCACCATCCGGAAAATTTTTTAAGTTCAATCATAAACATTTTTTAAGTATATAAATTCCTATTATCTAATGTAAATATAACAAAACTCTAGCTCAACTATGTTATAAGATTTGAGTTATTTTAAAATATTTCATGTAAGTCTCAAATAAGAATATTGAAATTTATGGTTTAAACATATCCAGAATTTGTAAAAATAAAGCCTTTTTACAATGGATTTTAGGAATAACTAAACGCATAGGATCGACCAAGCGCCGTTCTCAGCCTTCATACGAGTTTATGATATGTTAGTCAATTTTTTTTTAAAAATACCATTTCTTGAAAGACTTCTTGAACTGATTTTTTTCATAACCTCAGATGCAGTTCAAGATTTCTGTTGCTAAGTTATTAAGAGAAATATATATGAATGACTGGTTAGACTACTACATACTATGCTGCACTCGGTTAAGTGAGAGGCTATTGAAAAGTTTTATTGGGTCAATAAAACATAATATCGATAATACTAAAGTGAATTGCAGCAGATTTATGTAAATTGAAGAAATCTTTCTATAATAGATAATTTAGTTAAGCTATCATCTGATCTTATAACTTATGTGATAATCCACCATTAAGGACCCTCTTGAAAATTTATAAAGTAAATTTCAATTAATTGAAAACTTTTCACGTATCTTGTTCATTAGTTTCTATACTTTGCGATACGTATGTATCTTCAAAAGTAATAGAAAATTTATGTAGCTTAATCTATTTTTAACCTTCTTAGGAACCTGTTTTTATTAATTGAACTAAGAACTTATATACTGAAATTCTAATATATTTACGCGTTTATCTATTTTAAAAACTGCGGCCCATAAATACATAAATTCTGTGACTTTTTTTTTATAGAAACTAATTTCATGGTACCATATATCGATTTGAATACAAAAATGTTTAATAATAGAAGAGGTATAGGAGATTCCAAGCTCCAGCTTTAATAAACGTCATTAGTCAGCGAAGTAGTAATTGGAAATCTTAGCCCATTAATTAAGTAGTCAAATTATTAGTAAATTGTTTATCGATAATTTTAAGCACACCGATTTTAGTACGTACACAGACCCGTACACTTCGTCCCCTTGTGGCAACTCGCGGCGACAGCAATTAAAATATAACGAACAAGGACTAGAGTGTGGCAAGCAGTGGCAACATCAGCAATGGCTGCGAGGACAGTAATGGCAAGAAAAAAATCCACAATAAAAACAGTAACAATGGCAGCAAAAATAACAACAACAAAAAGCATAACCATAACAACTGCAACAATATGAAAAGCACAGAAAGGACGAAAAAGGACGAAAAAAGGAGTCATGGCGTATCGTGACACATAAATCATCATGATTAATATGCACAAATATGAATTTTAAATATTAATGAAAAGTGAAATTAATGTAAAATACAAAGGGACACAGAGAAATTATGCAAAATAAAATAAATAAGTAAATAATTAAAAAAAAATAAATATCAACAAGGAAACAAGCAAACTGAAGGAATGAATTATAATAAAAAAACAAGAAATTTAAATTGAATTATGTACAGTATTCAAGGAACAAAATCTGTTGATTAGAGATGCAACTTAGATTTGCCTTATAAAATGAGACAGAATTCAGAAGAAATGAAAATCAATTTTCCAAGAAAATCGCTTTAAAAATGCAAAGGCCGGATAAGTGCAGTCGCATTTATAAGCACTTAACTGCCGTTATTGGGAGGAAGTCGAATTGAATTTCCGTTTGAATTCATACCGGAAACTAACGAGATACAACAATTTTGCAAATAAGAAAAAAATGTGACAAGTAATGATAAAAAGTATAAAATTCATAATAAAAATACTGCGTTTGCCTTTGACAGTAAGACGCACAATATATAAGAGAGCCAGGATAAGGATGGAAAATTGTAGCTTTACGCAATAAAAGTATAACGTGGCGAGTTTCTTCGAATTGGAAAACGCTTAGGAAGAACAACAGTAACTACATGAAGCAGATCAGGCTGTGGCTGTGGGAGTAACAGGAAGAATGGCTACAAAACAGCACTTAATAAGTAAGTAAGTAGGAAGTTACTTAACGGAAATAACTCAAAGAAGTCATCATTAAATATTTACGTGACTCAAAACTCAATGGAGAAGAACAGGTGAACAACGCACTTAACAGGACTACTCGGAATGAATTAAAATTCATACAGAATTTGTGTAGACTAAGACAAAGTAGTCAAATACAATAAAAGAAAAAAGCTAATAATAAAATATAAAATAAAATTTGTATAAAAGACGAAGGTATTTACTGAAAAGCAATGTCGTAGTATGACTAAAATATCAAATGCTATGGCTGTATTTAAGCTCCTTTGTATTCAGAAAATTCCAAGCTAAAAATATATCTTATTTAATGTAAAACCTGAAACTATTCATAACTAATGTCTAAAATTATTTACTTTTATTATGGAAAATTTAAAAATTTGAATTGTACTTGAAGGCACAAGGATGTGCCAGGACCCAATGCAAATTGTGTGGGCATCACAGAAAAAAAAGTTCTTCTATCTTAGGTCATTATGTATGCAAATATAAATCAGTTGCAGCTGTACTGCACCGCATTTATTGTAACGATGCTGTCTAAAATTAACTGCCAACAGGATCGGAGAGGTGGCGTGCGATGCCAGAAACTTTTGTCACATAATTCACCTTTCATTATGCACGTAATTAAGCTGTTGCGCCTAAAAATATACCATAAACATGAATGGAATTTGCTTAATTGTGCGCAATCTACCAAAAATTTTGATTTACGGCATTAGCGCATAGACTGGTACCGACGACTACGTTTGCACTCCTTCGACTGTAAATATCTACAGTCAAAAGTCAAATAGTTGCGAAGAAATTTATTAATAGGAATAACAGGATTGGGAAGACTACAGGGTTGGTAGGCAGGGAGACAGCTAGGAAGGTAAGCAGGTAGGCAGTCTTTAGTTAATTTTGTCATTATGACAACGACAATGAATAAAATCATATTTACAGTGCACAATGGCAAGGAGTAGGTGACATTCTGTGCACTGAAGTAATTAAATTCAATGAGTTCACTTAAATGAACTCAGCATTCGACTAGAATAGGGAGAAGAAAATTCATTGCAGTTTCGTAAAAGTTTATAAAATTAAAATTTCAAAAAAATTAGAATTTTTTTCGAATACAAACTTCATCTCTAAGTTGGGCAATAAATGAAGTAATGTACTGTTTGAGGAAATAACACCACAAATCCTTGCTGTTTTAGCGCATTAAGTATAACTTATAAACTCAAGAGTGGTAATAAACTTCAACTTGGTTAAATCATAAAAATAGAAAGATCTTTAAATAAAATAGAAAAAAATTTATTTAACAAAAAAGTAATAAATAAATAAATAAAAGAAAGGGAGGAAAATAAAAACACAAAAATAAAAACGATATAAACATAAAAAAAAAGTGAATGAAAATAAAATAGAAACATGCAAAGCAATACGTGTAGAATACCAGAAGTATACGTATTCCGGTAAGCAGCTGTGAACACTTCTTTTTTACTGTAACTGATATCCGCAATGGAAACGCCTTCAACAATGCATGCAATCCTTAAAAAATCCTTAAGAAAACTTTACGGTTGCGGTGAAATTTATATTTAAATATTTGGAATGACATGCTTATGTGCTGTCATTTTATTTTGCATATTTCTCGGGTACTCCTCGTGTAAGGCATTGGCTAATACACATACACAAGGTAGGTGTTAAGGTTCGAAAAGAAATTGCATACTGCAAAGCAATTGGCAGCAGTTACTTTATGACACCTCTTAGTCAAGTCTCTCGGGAGCGAGGTGCAGGTTAATAAAAGTGTAATGGACAACAGTAAAGCTACTCGTTTTATTCGAGGAGGCATTAAAAGTTTAAAGTGTCAGCAAAAACTCGACTATAAAGAAGGTTTACATCTGCATAATTTTCCTGTTTTTTAAATTAGGTTGAGAGAGGTCAGCATGACATCTTTAGGGTATATCAAGTGTATTCTGAGATTAAGGATAGCGCTATCGTATGGAACGATTTTTAAAATTTGTGTATTACTGTTGAAGAAATAAATAAATTTATTTTGATCACATTTCTTCAATTTATTTATTTTAAAACCAATTAAGTTAAACTTTTAATACAGTTTATCAGATCAAAATAAAAATCGGTACAATCATCACAATTGGTTATATCTTAGTTACTTTTCTAAAACTAACTAAGAAGTTTTGGGAGATCCACCGTTGAAAAAAAATTTAACTGTGTTAAGATTATTGAAGTGTTACTGTATCTTACAATTTTTAAGCAACTAACTTATATATTTATAATTAACCGATTAAGTTAATATAGTTAGTTATATCTGAAGGGTTGTGATGGAGTCACGGTCATTAGCCTATGTAGTAAGATGACTAACGCAGTCATCTTACTATCTCTATGTCATAACTTCTAAGCTAATGAGAATACGACAATAACCTTCACTTAGTGTCTCCCGGTAACACGGTTATCAGTAAGGACATGTCCTTTCTTAGGGTGTATATTCGGGTTAAGAGACTGTACTTTTGCGTAAAAGAGCGGTGATACGTTTGAAGAAGCACTGAGGAACGGAATACCTATAATGGGGTTGACACACCTAGAAGACGGATGCGAGATTTCGCGTTGCTTACTTGATACGTTGAATATCAGTTTTACAATATACTGAAGACATGGTATTTCAGCCACAGAAATAGTTGTGGGCTCACGATTGTGATAGAGTTCCAGCCTTTTGAGCCGACTGAATGACTGGAGGTCTCGACACCAAAAGAAGATTGAATAAAAAATTTTTTAAAAAATAATTATAAAGTGTTGGTAGCCGTTCCATCGAGGCAGAAGCATCGATTTGTATACACCAATCATATTCGAATAGTTCCATGTTTATTTTTTGCAATTAACTAACATTTATTTATGTTGGTTGTATATATTGTTTTTTGTAAAACAAGTCACGATATTTTGCAAGATATTTCACAAATAGAGACTCAACGTGGTTGTTAAGCATAAAGAGTACACCATCTATGTTATGATAGTTAAAGTACTAATTATTTACTCATACAACTTTCTTTTGTGATAAGCTTAATTTTTCTTTTAGTGGATATGTTAGTAAACAAAATGATCACATTTAGGGCACTAAATTCTATATATAACTTTTAGAGGATCATTGCATACAGAAAATCACTTCATGATGTGACTTCATCCCGTTTTGAGATGTAACAGAGTGGTTCCTTTTAAAACGACAAAGGTTAATACACACCAACAATCTAATAGGTACAGAGGCATGACTTAGTAATGTTTTTGACTAAGAGTATCAAATAGACATGTTGAGGTACACAAACAATCTCATTACTACAGAGATATGATTGCCAAACTTTTTTTTGACGATGAATGTGGGTTTCAATAGTATACACAATCAACTCAATAAGTTCTGTTTTGGTGATATATATTTTGGATTATATGACTTTGCTACCAGGATTATGCTGTTTGTCACTAAAAGGCTTCCTTTGTGAGAGAACCTGCAGACAGTACTTTAACTGTCGATAGTTTGAAAGAGCACATCCATCTTTAGAGAATATCCAGCTTTATACTGACCAGTCCTCAAACTTTATCTCAAAAAGAATTCGGTCTGTGCTGATATGCTGTGCAGTATGTTTGTATGATGTAGTGTGTTACATTTTGTGGCAATGTATCAAAATAAAATAGATCGAAAATAATTATAAAGGTCTTTCATTTTGAGCTGTATCATTTTTGATTTGTCTTACTTGGATTCGTTGGGATGTACTTGATGACTTCGTACCAATTAAACTTATTTTCACAGTTAATTTTAAATTTGCGTTTAAATCATATGAAGCTGTGACTTTAAATTCAAGAACGTATCTTAATCAACTATTATTGTCCTCACTGCCGTTGTGCCAAGATTGTGCAGTTAATAAATATTTATGAAAATTTCGAGACTATGGAAACTGTGCTGCACTGATAATTTATGTCCACAACATTACACAAATTAAGAAACATTAAAAAAGAAATAAAACTGCTGGCTTTCCTTGACATCGTTATTTACGATGCCTTCTTTTAATAGAAGAAATCTTTTGTTATTCTTGTTTGCCTTTAATGTCTTTTATTTCATTCTTGCTTCATATTTTATATTCCTTTCAGATTTTTTTGTTTTTTTTTTTTGTTTTTTTTTTAAGTGGTTTTACTTACCTTTACTCGCCGGTGGTTTCCTGGTGGCCCAATTCGTCCGAATTGAACGCGAGCCAAGCCATTGTCCATTCATAGCCGTAATGGCGCTCTCGGCTTCCTGCAATGTCAAAAATTTTAATTAAAATTGAGATGCGCAAAATAAAAGTGAAAAGCTGAATAAACTGAACCGAACTGAACTGAACTGAAGTGAACTGAATGGAATATGATGAATAAAATGAATAAATAAAATAAAGAGAAATTTATGATGAAATGTTACCTACCGATTTCTTGACAAATGAGACGAACCCATAACCCTTGGACTTCAGTGTTTGTGGATCACGCACGACACGGCAATCACTGTAAATAATACGAAAGATACATTCAGATACTTTCATTCAGTTAAGGAAGCACAAATATTAACATTTTAACATTTCAACATTTTAACATTTTAACATTTTAATTAAGAATTAAGCTTAATAAAAACATTTGGAAATCTTGAGAGTATGAAACTTTTTATTAAATTGAAACATTTATTCTGTTATTCTGCTTTTGTTTTATTAGTTTCATGTTTTATTTAAATTTCGTTGCTGAATTCTGCTTGCGAGGCATAAATCTTACTTTGCAAAGAAACTTAAACTTTTATGCAAATTTTAATAAAAGTTAATTTAACGCTTACAACAGCAACAACAACAATAACAACAACAATAGCAACAGCAACTGTTGGGTATGTGGGTGTTGCCAGCAACAGACAAAGGCAGCAGTTGCTGCGGCATGAACACCTAAACTACTTTGCCACACGCCACCTGCGGAATACAAAATTGGAAATTCACGCATTCAACAAAAAAAAAAAAACAAAAAAGAATTGCTACTTCACAGATACAAAATGAGACTCAGTCTCAGATACTTTTGCAGTTGCAGACAAAACACAACACAAGATATGAGGCGACAGATAAGAACAGATCAACAAGGATAAGTTTTGATAGGATAATGGCATGTACATATTTCAAATTTGAAATCTGACCCTGTTTATCGTTTTTATTTGCGGTTTTTTATTTTCCTTCCATTTTTCTACTTTCCACTTTCTACTTCCACCAAAAAATAGAGGAAAAAAATATATAAAAAGAGAAAATTTATTAAGTACAAACACAAAGTGGCATAAAAATTTGATTAAATATAATAAAAAAAAGGCTAACAGGCTTCCCAACTGCCGTTAAGCCGAAGAGGAGCCGCAAGAAAAGGAGCCGCGCTGGGTTATTAGTCACACGCGCGAAAATTTCATCAAACCAAGGAAGAAAGTCGTTGACGGAAGTCGAATTTGCAGAAAGAGTAATGGAGATTTCAACATTTTCATGAATTCACCATTTCTTGATACCGGAAATGGGTCAAATATTTCAACTTCTCTTCGGAAATTGTTTTTGTTTTTTATATTTATTTTTAACTGTGCAAATTAAATTAATTTTTTAAAACCGCAAAATTGCTTTTCTTTTCATTTTGGTATTTAGCGGAAGGACTGTTAATACCCATTAATTAGTGAAAATTAAATAGACATTATGTTCAATCATTTTTAGGGTACTTTATACGCAAAAAAATTACAGTAAATCATTATTCGATAGTATTTAAAATGATTCTTTCATAAACACGATATTAAATTCTTAAACTAATTGATGGAAGTTTTTCTAATTGAAACTATGGGGCATTATATAGATTTTCCCGGGAGCTGCAAATTGGCAACGGATTCGATTAAATTTCATAATTATGAATACCTATATAACGCTATAATCATTCATTATCGATAAAACTTAGGACTGTAATAATCAATTTTCAATTTCAAACATTCATTATATAATACTCAAACCTCTATTCATCAAGTCAACAAAGGTCTAGTCAACAAAGCTTCAACTAGAGCTTTGTCACCATCATAACCACGTTTATGGTTATGAACTTATACCCTGAGTATATTAGTTATATTAATATTTTATATGAATATTCCCAACAACGTAAGAGGCCTTAGAATAGACCGGTCCATAATATACATAAGGAACAGAGCTCTGAAGCTATATGCGAAAACCGACAGGATGCGCTACTTAGCACTATCTAATCTCAGAGTAACCACTAACCACACGGGGCGGTACGCAGATCTTAGATCAATAATTGAATAATCACAAAGATTATGAGGAATACTCCAATTAGACAGTCAGATGGGTGGGACTCTGCAGAAACCCCCTAGCCATCATAGAGTAAAAGTGCCCAGATGCACTAACTCGGAAAAGGCTCAACATAACTAACTGATGTATGTAAAGTACTATCTAAAGATTAATTGAATACTCCTCCACAAACGTAACCCTAATATATCTCTAGTAGATAACTTAAATAAAACGAAACGGTTAACTAGATTTAATGCTTCTTTTTCTTTGCCTGGTTCGCAGTTAATATTATATTTTGAGCATGAGTTCTAGATATTTTTCAAATATTTGAATAATTCATATTCTGATAACTCAGGATCTGCTGTTTTAGGTTCTGGTGATTCAGACTACGATGGCTCAGGTTGTTTATAGAAGAGTCTCTATAAAAAGTTAGATACAATGCCTATTCTGACCCAGTATCCTTTGAGTATTCTATGGTTAATCAATACCTCAGACAACATATTTAATTGTATAGACCAATACAGAATTTAAATATTTTTCTATTGCACAATAGTTCTGTAAACCCATTTTGGATTTGCTTAAAACTGCAAGACTTACAAGTTCTTATTTCAAAATTTTTCTAATATATGACTTAAGTTTTGGGGACTCAAGTTCTATTGACTCATGTTCTTTATCCAAAATATGCAATAGTTCAATACCCGATGCATCAGCTATGCTGATCAGGTGTACTTTCAGGTAGTTTTTTATGGTCGATCAATAGTTCGATAAATATTCTTAATCTGTTCTTGATTATATCAATATAGTATTTTAATCTATTTATGTATTTATCTATTAAACAGAGTTCCTTTAATTGCCGTACAACAATTTATTATCTCTTCTGTTTTTCTTGAATCTCAAGTACTCTGTTTCATATTTTTTCAATTATATTCTAATAAGATTCAGACCCTAACATTGCCATAGAAGTTTCCTTTATGGCAAGTTTTTGGACTTGCTCATTTACCGGAATTTCTGGATCTCCTCAATGGAACTCAATGGAAGCTGAGTTCATTAGTAATCATTTCTATTATTTTAAATTATTTTTACTAAAACTCTGTCAGTAATTTCAAGAAATTTATACTGTTTACTAACACAGGTGTTATAAGCGGTAAAGCAATAGGTGAGTCCACCTTTCACAAGACGTGCTGCCACTATCATCTAACTAAAGTAAATAACTGAAGAAGTCTATTTCAAGTTTTGACACAAAAGTAAACTGTGATTTCCAGCTTTCAGGCCTGGAGCCTTTAAATCTGGTTACATAAACTGAAGTTATTGCAACCATGGACTTTCTAGGCGGCAGTACGTAGTGTGATAAGTTTTATGGAAAAGTTAATTAAACAACTTTGCTGACCGAGTTTTTCTTGTTATCGAAGTTAATTTAAGTTTATATATTTATGTATACAAGATGTATATTTTTATATTTTTTTTTTCAAACATGGTTTGGTATTTCTTTTTTTAATAAAATCAATGTTGTGCCTAGCGCCATCTGCTTTGGCGTCCTGCGTGCAAATGAGCTAGTCTTTAATAAGTGGCGTCGCCTAAAATTGCTGGAAGATGATTTCATCTATTGGCAATTGAATTTCAACGCATGGAAAATACAAAATCACTACAAAAACAACAATAACAAATGAAAAAGGATAAAATTGCTAACAACATTTATTGAAAGAAAATGAAAAACAGCGGCACAAGGCAGATTGCCTCGCAGAAATACGAAGGATGTTGCTGGGATTAAAAGGGTTCAATAAGGGAGTAATTTGCATAAAAGTCATTACAAGATTTAAAATAAATTTAAATATATTTTTTTTCTTATTTATGGAAGTTAATATTAAGCAAAATGAGATAATTTTTTTACAATTTAAAATACTTACGATATTTCACCAAATGGCGTAAAAGCCTCACGCAGTTGTTGGGTTTCAATTTCTGAGCTGAGATCGCCAACGAAAATATGGAATTGTTCTATAAAGAAAAATAAGAGAAATAATTCTACATTAGTTAAATTTTATATATAAAATGTATATAATAATTTATTTATTTACTTAAATGCACTTAAATTTCCATTATAAACTTATATTAATTGAGTTATTAAAATGGACTCAGCTACTTTGAATAAATATTGATTTGCATGCAATGCACGCTAAAATGGTTTTGAAATAATTATATATTGAATACTTTTATATACGTTAAACATTTAATCAATTACTTTAGCTTTTCCCAGAAATTTCCACAAAAGTATTGCGTAATAACTTTTTCATTAAAATAAATTTAATTTGTTATGTTAATTGATAAATATCGAAAACTGCAAAGAAATGATGAACTTAAATTCATTTGCAGATAATTAATCACTGCATTACATCAAACAGTTTTATTATAAAAATTTACATATATTTTAATTAAATAATTCCACAACATTTAATGCTCGGCTCCTACAAATCACTGGGAGCAGTGCTCAAAAGTGAATTCCATTACGAAGTCATTTCATGTGGAAAAATTATTCCACTGCAAAGAAAGTAGTAATTTACATCTTCCATTGATGAATAAAATAATAAAATAAAATTACAAAACTATAAAACTGCATATGAAGTTACGACAGGGCAGGTTATGAACTCATTACATTTACATTTCAGGATAATTGAATTAAAATAGTTTCTGCATTACAGATATGTTATTTTATTTAATCAATTTAAATAATGATATATTGATATTTCGTTTTTATATTTCATATACTTTCAATCACTTTATTTATTATACATTTAAAATTAACATAACACAATTGCTCTGAATGTATAAAGCAGAAATATTTATCTTAAAAGTCATTTAAGAAATGATCTAACATATTATATTTAATTGAAGCTAAAAGTATTTTCATATAAAACCATTGAAATTTTAATTTAATGCTCGGTTCCTTCTAGAGTCCTCTTTACTGTTTCTGACTACGTGCCATTGTCAGCAAGTTGGGCAACCTGACCTTTAGGCGACAAATTTTGTTTTTATCAATTCTTCTACATCCATACTCCATAATAGCATGAAGTATTAAAGGTCCGCTCAACAAGTATCCATTCACTCATATGAGCTATATACCCCATTCACTTAGCTCACCGAAGTCTACTAGGCTATATTTTTGACAATATGGTAGTGATTTTCGAATCGATTTTCCTCATAAATAGAACCTACATTTTTCCGTAGAACTTAGAGCTCAGACTGCATATAGAACAAACATCCAAGTTCGGGATTTATAACTTAGTACTGATGTTAAGATCATTAACTCAAACTCATACAGTAGTATCTCTGATATAATAGTCTATATTTTTGAAGACTAGTTAAGTCTTAAAAGTACGCTCTAGACTACTTCATTAACTTTTCAAAAACTTTGAAAATGATGTCAGTCTGAAGATCAGAGAACCACTATTACCAATTGGGATGTAGAGCTCTCTCTTGACACACCCTATCTGTGCTTTTGTATGGAAGCTATCACAGAATGATAAAGCAGCACTGGAAGACTTTCATTTTCGTATGATCTTCCGTTCTTTAGGAGTTGGCAGTGATTATCACAACCCAATAAACTGCGAACTGTACGAGCTTTAACACGACATTGATATAATTTAGCAAATTAACATTCAGTGGCTTCGTTGCCTAACCAATCCACTTATGAAAATGGTTGTTATAGTTATAATTATAGTTATTTGAAGCGATAATTAATGGAAAAACAAGTGAAGGTAAACTGTGTCTCTGATGGAATGATCAAGTTACCAATTAATTAACCTAAATTGATGTAAGAGACGTAAGACCGAAACCCAGTTATGCATTATTATGGCCATTTAAGTAAATAAGTAAGTAAATAAATTATGTTTATGTGAATAGTACAAAATAAATAATATAAACAATAAATAAATAATATAAATTACATAATTATTGTAATAAATAATAAAGGCATTAAAAAAAATTATAATTGAATATAGTAAAATAATTATTTTTAATAAAAAGCAACAGTGTTTCCGTAGGTAATAAAGTATTTCAAATCTCGTCCTTGTAATCAAAATTTACAAAATTCCAATTCTTACCTCCTCTCTTTCTTTTTGGGTTTTTTTTTATAGTATCGTTAACGAAAGTATTTCAAACTTTATCACTCATAAAAAAGCAAAAAGAATCTCAAATTGTATTCACAAAATCCGAACATAAAATCACCAAAAATTCTTTAACAAAATTTCGCTATTTTTCATATGCAATACAAGACACGGCACAGCTGAGCTTCGACTGCACTAAAAGAGTGAAGCTACAAGATACAAGATACAGGGAATTTTGAAATTCTGAAATTCTTTTCTATCTTTTGTCTGAAATATTTACGTTCGCTGCTAAACATTTTAAAAGACATTTATTACACTTTGTAAAAGGCTGGCATGAATAGTTCATATACTTGTATCTTCATATGTCGTGCATCTGCTGTGTTTGTTGCGTGCAATGCATTTGCGATTCTAAGTTGTGGATGTGCAGAACTGCAGTGAAAACTTTTAATTTACTTTTTACTTTTCAAGTTTTTGAACTAAAGTGCGCTCATATTGCAAGATATTCACACACATACACACACACACACTCAGCCACTCATTCACATACTAAGCAATGAACAAAGTCATTCATTGCCTTACCAATAAACTTATTTGCGCCACTAACTATACACACACCTACTCACAGCCACCAAAAAAAAAAAATATCAAGTAAAGTTTTGCCTTTAGACTCACGCACACATGCACAATTATTCATTATGTTTCTTGTTCTTAGTCTGTGCAAAAGACGCTGCTGTCGGCGTTGTTTTTGTAAATGCCTGTCCTTTATACCGTGCGTCTTCCACATTTTCGGCTTCAGTCGCTTCTTCTGTTATTGTTCTTATGTTCTTGTGTTACTGTGCTCGTTCTTATTTTTATTTCTCTGTTATTGTTATTATTGCTGTTGCGGTTGTCGCTGTTGTAGTTGTTGTTGTTGTTGTTGTTGCTGTTTCTGTTACTGTTACTGTTGTAACTACAACCCAAGAAAGTTGAAAACCAAATCCTTACTCCAAATAATTAGCACTATTCACCGAGGCGAAACGCTAAGAAACCGTTGCAAGGATTTATTAAACAAAAACAACACATGTGCTGCTGTTAAGTGAGTGTAGGTATGCATGTTAGTGTTAGTGGATGTGTGCGCAGTGTATGTAAATCTTTGTATTTATGCTTGTGTCTTTTGATTACATTGTAGTCGTCTACATAATTTCTTGGGTTTTGCAAACAGTAAGCGCACGTGAAGGAATTAAAGTTTCCGGTAATTTTACGAAACTTGGCGAAAAGTAAGCTAAATTGAAAAAAGACGCAAGGAAGGCATACAACAAATTGCCATTATTCTTAAATACTAATAAATTACAAAAAAAATGTGTTTCAATTAGAAATAAGTCGAAGAACTCTATTGAATGTTACTAACATTAAGAAAACGCTGAAGTTTAACGTAAGTGAAGATTACATACAAATGAAAAAAAAAAATAATAATTAGAAGAGATCGATTAAATATATATAAATTTATAATAATAAAAAGTTATTTTAAAAAAATTAAAAAAAAATAAAAAAAAAAGAAATAAAGAATAAATTAAATATTAAATATTTTTTAATTAAAAAAAATATTTTATAAATAGATATTTCCTAAGATCACTGTTCAAGGATGTATTACGACATACGAAAGAGCTGGTTAGCTCAAAAATTTACTGGATTAAAAATGTTGCTTTAGATTCAAAGATGTCCCCTTTTCTGTATGAAATTGATTTCTAATTTCTAATTTTCAAATGTAAAATATGTAGAGGTCTTTCTTTTAAGCTTAACGATTTTTGATCGATTTAGTTAAAATATTTTTTTTCAACTCCTTTTCGTAAAATAAAAATACCCGTGTCTTGCGAAAAAAAACTTTTAAATATTTTTCTGATTCTAGAGAAGCTCTATAATTGATAGAGAGTTACAATTTAGTGCAACCTAGAGCCCTACAATTTATTCACTTATTGCAAATATTGTATTTCATAATATATATGAAATTGTTTATAATTGCTTACTAAAATTAATTGATAATTTGAAAAATAATCCTATTATTATGCAAAAATTTTAAACTTCGAAGGGTTCGATTAGAAATGAAAAGATAACAACAAAAATTTTAGTTAATTTATTAAAATTTGGCTGACAATACGAGTTTCGATTATTGTCTTATTGATCTTAGGAGCCATTCGAATTTTTTTTCATATGTTTATAGTCTGTATATTTAAAGTCTAAGCTTTATTTTTTTAATTTTGAAAAGAAAAAGTAGTCATTGTTCATGATCAATAACCAGGCCAGTCATGTGCCAGGCTTAGAACTCGTGGCTGTCAATAGCGTTATTCCACAAGTTACCAAGGCTGCACAAACCTTCAATGATCAAGTTCCAAGTTTTGTATTACTTTTTTGTTTTTTAAATGATACCTTTCAAAGCACTTTTGAAGATTTAAATACGAACGAAATTATAATCGTGTGCGAGTTCGAGTAAATTAATGGTAAATTGAGGTATGGCAGCGAATGTTGATATTTACCAGAATTTCGAGTGGGGTAAATTAGAAAAAAATCAGGTAAATTAATTACAATTACCATTGTAAAAATTTTATAAAATGTTTAATAAATAAATTTGAAAACTTTTAACCAAAAATAATAAATAAGTGCAATAAATAAGTATTTACGTAAGTGCAGTGCAAAAAATCCCTAGAAAATTTTAACTCACTTTACCTCAATTTACACGAACACGTACACGGCCTATAAACTATTCAATTTTTTCGTTTTCACTTAGATTCATAATGAAACTTCTTAAAAAAACTAAAATTCTCTAATGATAGTAATTTTGGAAGTATTTTCAAAATTTTATTTTATAATGTACGAGTACCTCACGAATATGCGTACATAATTTCAGTTAAATAAGATTTT